GACCCATCCACCACCACTCTCTGGGTGCAGCCCTCCAGCCAATTTGCGACCCATTTGACTGTGTAGATATCGACACCACAGTTGCCCAATTTTTTTTTTTTTTAAATGAGGATGGGGTGAGAGACAGTGTCGAAGGCCTTCCTAAAGTCCAGAAAGACTACATCCACCATGACACCTGCATCCAAGGATTTTGTAACCTGGCCATAGAAGGCCACCAGGTTGGTCTGACAAGACCTGCCTCTAATGAACTCAAGTTGATTGTCCCTAAGCATAATCACCCCCTTCCGACCCCTTGGTTCCTCGCAGATGTGCCCCCAAGACCGAGGTAAGACTAACGGGCCTATAGTTTCCTGGGTCCTCCTTCCTCCCTGTCACGGCAGGGTCCTGCAGGAGGGCCATGATCTCCTCAAGGCCCCCTTCCCATGCCAAGTTGGCCCAAGGGCACCCTCAAATTCTCACCCACCACTTCTTTGATAACACTATATATTTGGGAGGCTGCCTTTTATGCCCACTTGGTCACGTCTTGCCAGTTACTTGGACCCCGTGGTTTTCCGGACTGTTTGTGGGTCCCGCTCTACAATGGGTGCTTCAGGGGCACCCTAGCCTTAGGGGCTATGCATGGCTCCTACCATCCCAATACCACGCCCCAAGCCTTGCAGATGTCACGGACGTTGTTCTGTCCCTTCCTCTGTGTTCACGCCCTCTCTGGCACTCGGGCTCTCCACAGCCCTGTCTCTCTCTGTGCCCTCTCTGGCGTTCGAACTCTCTGTAGTCTCGTCTCTCTGTCTTTTTCTGTGCCCTTCTCTTGGGCCTTCCCAGGAATCCCCCTTCTCCAGGGTTCACCACAATGCTACCCCCTTCTCCAGGGCTCACCATGCCCGCACTGGGGCTTCTCAGCAATGCCCCCTTCTCTGGGGCTTCTCAAGTGCCCCTCTGTGGGGCTGGGGTCTATGTACCCAGAATGCTCCACCCTCACTGGTGCTCGGGTCCCCACACTAGTGCAATTCCTCTATGAGCCCTCCTTCATCCCCTAATACCCTCACCCAAACCACCAGTGAAAAACAGCAAGACAAAATGCAAGCCCATCGGCTATAACTTAACCAGAAGACGCCCGGCCATAACAATGCTCAAGCCTACCGGGAAATACTCCATGCCTTCCATGAGAGAGCTCCTTTCTCCTTGGTTGCTGGCAGGGAACTGCCTCTGGCCTCAGATCCTTGCATTTATAATGGAGCCAGGCCCTGCCCCTTTCAATCAGCTGACCACTGGCAGGGGGGCTCTTTTCGCTAACCCACAGCTGGGCTCCTTATTCACTGCTAGGGCTCTTTCCTGGGCAGTTTTTCCCTCTTTAGAAGCAGGGCACCTAAGTGCTCTGCAACATTCCCTTTTTTGCAAATGGGGACCACATTGGCCCTTTGCCAGTCCTCTGGCACCTCGCCAGAGCACCATGAGTGAAAAAAAAAATCTCTGATACATGAGGAAAAAAACCCTGCATTAACATTCAGTGCTCTTTGCGATCCCATTCAGCTCATCTCTTGGAGCCCGGCTGCTATTATGAGTCAGACCATATCTGCCTGTAGAGCAGAGAAAGAAAAGAACTGTGGCACACTGATCTCACACCGAGCCTTGCCTTGCAGTTTTAATAGCTTTTGATGCATCTCAAAACAAAGCCATCGGATAGCTGTAGCAGCCCCAGAATATGACGTGAGGACTTTGTACCACTGTCCTGGCTCTCACTGGACAGGGCAGAGTATGCCACTCCAGTGGCCAGTGAGAAAAGCAGTGGGTTCATGTTGTCCCTTCTGTAGTCACACATTCATTGATTTGAAGACTAGAAGAGGTGGTTAGAGAATCTACTCTCGGTGTACCTGATCATATTGTACCTCCATCCTTGGAGGTCCTTAAGACCCGTCTGGACAAAGCCTTGCAGGGAGAATCTACTTGGGGCTGGTCCTGCTTGGAGCAGGGGGTTGGACTAGACATGACCTCCTGAGGTCCCTTTCACCCTCATTTTCTATTATTCTATATTTCACTAAATTACTCCTATATTGAGCCCTATGTCTTGGGTTTAGCTAAAGTACATCTTGCAGGAAGGCATCTAACTTTGACATGAGGACACCAGTGGAGAGGGGATCTTGAGAATCGAGCATTTCTTTTTGAAGTTTATTCCAAAATGTAATCACCTGCACTGAAAGGTTCAGGCCTTTCTTCCAATATGGAATTTCTGGTTTCAGCTTCTGGCCTTTGGATCACACTACACCATTCTCCACTAGATTAAGTATAATGTTAGTGCTTGGTTTTCTCTCCCCTGGAGGTCCTTTTACACTGTATTCACACCTCTTCCCCCCACGCCCCCTGTTTTTGATAAGCTGAACAGAATGAGTGCTCAGTTTCTTATGGTTCTAGATCCTTGGATACTCCACATGGGACTTTTCTGCACTCTATCCAATTCTTCAGCAATCTTCTTATAATATAGACACCCAAACAGGAGGCAGTACTCTACCTTCTACCTCAGTAGAGGTAAGACCAGCAAATGACCTAAAATATGTCAATAGAGGGAGAGGCATGAATATGTTAGTAGATGCACCTAGAGCCCTTGGGCCACATTTGGGTGCAAGTGGTTGTGGCTCCAGGGACATGAAACAAGTTTACACTAGATATTGACCCAAGTGGTCTCTGTGCAGGAAGGGACTCAGATGGACTCTAAGAGGGGGGCATCTAAAGTTCTGCTAATACAGGAACCCACCAAGATAGCTTCGTGTCAAAAAACAACAAGCTTGCAGCTCTCCTCTGAAGAAGTCTGACTCCTGTGCAACAGACTTGAGCAGTCTCTGCTAAGAGTCATCTGTTATTACAGGGAATCAGGGAGTGGGCTACTGCATCAGGAAATCCTGGAGGGCAGAAAGGTAGCCCAGCTTGTGTTCCTGTAATGGGATACGGTTTTTAATGACACAATTGCAAACCATTTCCCCCCTACAGGCCCACTGCCACTCTCAGCACACAGCGTGGATGGTATGGTGCCCATGAATCAGCATGATGAAGTTAATGAGGCTCTTTGTCTGGAGGCTGTACTGCCAACCCCTCGATTGTATCATGACTCTTGTGCTCGTTGGCAGA